GCTGTGGTACATTGATGACTGACAATTAGTGTTTGTTGTGTGGTGAAAGTCTGTAGATTCTGAAAAAGTTCATTCTGTGTGCCTTGCATGGTTCACTGATGTTGCATTAGTTTTGATCCAGTTAGTAGAATCAATAGATCATATAAGCATATGAAATTGGTCGAGAATTCGAGGTTTGCAAATAGAATCTGCAAGTTGAATCAGTTTCAAGATAATGTTATTATAAGAAGCTCATGAGCTCATTCTATTGAAAAATTATTCCGAAACTCTTCTACAAATTCTTATAACCTGTAAAACATATCAAGACTATTTAAGACCAAAACCAAGCTCTTTCTTAGTTCCATTTATATCATTTGCATCCTAATTCCTAATAATGTCGTAACAAAACCTCTGTCTCTGGAAGATAATCCTGAAGTGCTTAATCTTATGATACTCCTTTTTTGATGAAGACAGATTCGATGGGAACTCGGAACTTGTGGCTGAACTGGTTACAGCAAATGGCTTCAAAGCTGCTTATGCAATAAAAGACGGTGCAGAAGGGCCGAGAGGATGGTTGGTTAGTGCGTGACTTATTTTCATTATCATTTACTTTTTTTCCCTAAATACTTCATTTTCTAATTTAGAGCTTTCTGCAAAGCTGCTAGTCAAAAACTTTAAAGAGAGGTTACAATTTTGCAGAAAAGTGACCTTCCATGGATACTTCCAAAGAAGACATTGAGCTTTGACCTCAGCAACTTCACGGATGCTTTTGGGGTAAAGCCATATAGTAATACTACATTAGAGGCTCTTTTGCTAATTCTCTGTCTTTGTCTTTCTCTGATAATATGTACATTTTTTTTTTATTAAGATTTTCATAGCAATTGTTTTTGGTCCGTATGGTTAATAGGAGGCAGCTGAGATTGTGCCCTTGACACTTGGTGTTGCAGCAGCAGCAGCTGGTCTTGGACTATTGGCTTTTACAGAGGTTAGGCATTAGTCACAGTAGCATATATGATCTGCTTTTTCTTCTTTTGCTTATTTTTTTCTGTATAGGGTTTATTGATGATGACCTAGTCTTGCCGTGTTATTCTTTCAGGTGGAAACAATTCTGCAAATACTGGGTTCGGCTGCTCTCGTGCAGTTTGCAAGCAAGAAACTCCTGTTTGCAGAGGTTTCCTTATTAATTACTTCTAAACTGTCTGTTTATTATCTTTCATTGTTTTTTCTCTATGATTTGAGAAAAAATAAAAAAAGAGGAAGAAAGGAAGAGAGAGAGAGAGAGAGAGAGAGAGAGCTGAAATAATTGAGTTATTTTTTACGGGAATCGCTTGTCAGAATCTATTTTTTACTAAAATACAGGTGACTTACCAGGCTCCAGTAAAATGATATACATAATACGAGTCTTAGAATATTTGATTTCAAAAGTGATTGCTTTTGAGTTTCTATCTAATAATCCCAGGCTCCACTGTAACAAATATATAGAAAGTATAAACACGAATCATTTGAAAGGAAATTCAGCCTTTATTTGTATCTTCATATCGTAAACATAAAAATTTTCAACCTTAGAATCCTCAAACAACTCCCGTGACTTGTATTTTTACAGGACCGGAAGCAAACTTTACAACAAATTGAAGAGCTTCTGAACACCAAAGTTGGCCCTAATGAGTTTGTGGATGACATTCAGGTAATTAACTCTTATCTCTATGATCCTGAAAATTCTTCATTATTTTACGGTAAAAGTTGCCATTTTTTTTTTCTTCTGATGGTGAGAAATCATCTTTTGTTTAAACCCCTCTTTTTTCTGATTATTTTGTTGCTCTTACCATTTATTTAATTCAACTCTTTTAGAAAATAGGGAAGGCTCTCCTACCATCACCCATAATTAGCAATGCTCTACCTGCTCAAGGAGAGACAAAGCCCGGCCCAACTGAAACTGCTGTTCTAAAATCCATTACGGAAAGTGTCCCATCAGAAGCTAAAGACGTTCTACAAGTCAACTCTGTCCCGAAAACAGAAATTGAACAAGAATCTCTTCCTGCTCCTTCTAGGCCACTTTCACCTTATCCCAATGTAAGTTCTTGTAAAGCTTACATATTGTGTATATGTCGTCTGTGTTAATTTCAATTCTTCTAGGATTTGTTTTTCTTCTTGCATAGTGTGAAGTGAAGAATCTAGTCCATTACATATTTTGTGCATAATCTATGGTGATAAGATTAATGATTTTTTTTTTTTCAAAATAAATAAAATAAAGAGAAACACTTGGCTTTTGGTCTAATATTACGTACAATCCAGCTATCTGTAAAAATTACAACTTGAAAGAGAAAACTGCACCATAAGTACAGATGAAACGTTGATGCAACAAGTGTTTGTAACACCATAAGGAGGTATTTGCAATTTTTAGTTTGATCTTCATTCTGTTTATTTCTTTAATTTATTTATTTTTTTTCACTGCAGTATCCCGATTACAAACCTCCATCATCTCCAAGCCCATCACAGCCTTAGGGTCACAACAACGTATTTTCTTGAGATATCAGCAGCATATCCTCCTCTTAAAAAGCTGAGGTTTTTAAGCTTACATTTATTTGATGAGCAAGTGAAAAGATAATTTTTTGAGCCTATATGCGTAATGTTATTGGCATCTTTATCGTTCAAGTACTATTGGAGCTCTCGTTCGATACTGAATTAGCCAGTTGGTTAGCTTCTTAGTTAGTAATAATTAAGCAAATGAACGTAGCAAGAGACAGGTCTTTGAATATATAGTTTTCTCTTCGAGTGTGAGAATTTGTATCATATCGTCACTTTGTACTGCCTGTCACCTACACGATTACGGGAGCTCTTTGTGTGAATGCTGCAATTTGATGGTGTTTTGTGGTGAAATGTCGGGATGCTTGAAACTGTGATTTGAATTTTTAAAATATATAAATGCAGAGATTTTAATTTCTTGTGCTTCGTAATATATTAATTTATTGTGTTTTGTAATTTTAAATGTCAATTTCCAATGATTCAAGAGTAGTTTGGACATTTATTTTGTCAATTAGGATTTCTAATATTAATTGTAATTTTAAATGTCAATTTCCAATGATTCGGAGTAGTTTGGACATTTATTTTGTCAATTAGGATTTTTAATATTACTTCTACGTTCGATGCACGTGACATATAATTAGTTTTTTTTATAATTTGAAAGATACATAAAATTAGAATATGAGCATATAATGATTTGAAAATGAGATACAATTATAATTAGTTTTTTCTATAATTTGAAACATACATAAAATTAGAATATGAGCATATAATGATTTGAAAATGAGATACAATTGTGATATTTTTATCTATAGCATAAATTCTATGGATTTAAAAACTAACTTTGAAAATGAGATACAATTGTGAGTTATTTTATCTATAACAAAAATTCTATGACGCCCATACGAGGCGCTATAAGTCATGTCATTGTATTATAGAATAATAATAGAACTAGTACAACACTCATATATTATATGGGTGGGGACGGTGCCTCATCCCGGATATAAAAGTGAGATCGGTATCCGGACAAGTCAAATCCAGGACCGTGCCATAAATAATCAATATATTTATAGATAATCCGAACTTAAATATTTTTAGATTAAAAGTAAATTAAATCTATCCAAGCCTAATAACAAAGCATGTAACTTTGCCACATAGGATCCCGAAAAATGCGAACCTGCCACATAAGTTCGGCACGTTCTGAATTAATATATAAAAAGGGGGGATATGATTGAATTTTATTTATAAAACTTTATTTTATTAAGCTTAAAATGATTTAGGGGAAAAAGTAAAGGGGTGATTGTTTATGGATTGAACTAGTTTTTATTTGATTTATTTTTTAACTATAGTTAATTTTGCAAAAATGTGGTACGGGTAGTTGTTAGTGGATATATTAAAATAATATTTAAATAAAATAATTAAAGTTGATTTGATGTAAAGTAGGAGAAAAATGATTGGAAGTGATAGTTAGAGTGATGTGAGTGGATGAATAGTGAATTAAAGTTGATGTGATATGTAAAACTGATTGGTTGATATTGTTTAATTGTATTAATAATATTTATGATAGTGGAATTGAGTTAAAGTTGAGTTAAATTTGAATTTTGATTGATTTTTTTACTATTCAATTCATATACAATCACCTCCTAAACTATCGACATTAATTGAATAACCTATAGATTCGCCTGAATAAAAATGAATCCTAACAATTAAATTAAATAAATCTGAGGCCCAGCCCAATTCTCTTGACATAATAAGACAAGTCAGGTTTATCACTTAAGAATTGGAACACCCACCCACCTCCGTCCATATCGTTCCACGCCGAGAAAGAAGAAATCAAATTGAAAATGGCAGTGGACGATGGAAACGACGACGTTCTAACCAGGCTCCCGCAGGACATCATCTTCCAGATATTCTTCAAACTTCCCCCCAAAACCCTACTCCGGCTCAGGTGCGTTTCAAGATTCCTCAATTCCCTAATCCCCAACCCATACTTCCTCAACCTCCACATCGCCGCCTCCGCCGGCCCCCGCTGCCACCACCTCCTCAACTACGATTCCCCCGATTCCGCGAAATCCTACTTCTCTTTCCGAACCGACCGGACTCTGGACCCTTCTAAAACCTTCGCAAACCCCTTCAGGAGCGTAAATGGCTACATGCGGCTCGTCGGCTCCTGCCGCGGAATTCTGTGCCTGTTCGACACCAGCTACTTCACCTCCGTAGGAACCCTAATTTTTTGGAACCCTTTTATCCGTAAGCTCAAAATCGTCCCTACCCTGCCGGAATTGGGCTGCGTCTGGACCCGAATATCGCACATGGCAGTAGGATTTGGGTTCGATCCAAAATGTGACGATTTTAAGGCCGTGAAGGTTTTGTACAGCTGTGATGATGATCCGATTCCGTCCAGGGCCTTTGTTTACGAGCTAAAAATCGGATCTTGGAGGATTATCAACCGTCACCCCCCTCATTTCTTGCCCATGAATTGGACTGGCAGTGTTTTTCTCAAAGGGTTTGTGCACTGGCTGGCATATGAGCGGCCAAGGTTTAATGGCCCCCCAAATTGCATTATGGGATTTGATATGACAGAGGAGGTTTTCAAATCTATGGAGTTGCCTAAGAATGCTGTGGTCAACGGTAAGGAGTTGAGGCTGTGTCCTTCTGCTGATGAGCAAACGTTGGCTCTGTTTGTGGGCAGTCGAAAAAATATGAGCATGGTGTGGGATTTGTGGTTGATGAGTGATTATGGCAATGTGGGATCTTGGAATAAAGTTTATACCATCGTGCTTGATGTGGAATTCTTACCTTTGAAGATTACACATGAGAGGGAAATTCTGGCTGTGAGAAAGGATAAAAAATTGGTTTCAGTTAATTTCGAGAAGGATGAAGTTAACGATCTTGAAGTTTGTGGTTTGCCGTCATCTTTCTTTGCTGATGGTTACTTGCCAAGCTTGGCGTTGCTTGATTGTGGAGAACAGTTTGTTGAGTAGGATTGATTGTTCATACCGTGAATGGGGTTGAAGAAAGGATGAAGGATAATGGTAATGATTTCGTACTATAATATAAGTGTCAGTTTTCCATTTTGTTTATGTTTGCATCTAGTTTATGATTATATAGTATGATCTTTAAAATATTTTTAGATAGGACCTTTGGGAATTATTGGTAGGGAAATTTCAAAACAAATTTGTTTATGTGATTCTCTTTTTACAATGGCTTGTGCTGCTAAAGCTTATGTCGCCGGTATAAATGAGTTAATCAAGAGAGAAGAAGGAGAAGTGATCTTCTTTTATGTATTTGTTTACCTTTAAAAGTAAATTATACAAAAAAATCCTTCAAGGTTTCTGTTTACTTGCAGGAAAACCTGGACAGGGCTGGTATTTGTGTTATCTGAATTTGTTTACAATTATTAGGGCCCAGCATGATTAGCTACGCATGTAATAAAATCACGTTTTTGTTTGATGAGTAATCCTCAGTTCGGAGTCTGCTATTACTTCTTGACGAGTATGCTTTTTTACAGTTAAAAGCCTATTCTTGATGTGTTTTTATTTTTTATTTTTTATAAGATAGTGTGATAGAAGTAAGAGTGAACAAGTGGGTATAACTGGGTAATTGAATGAGTGGATCAAATCATTCTGGGTTCCCAAATGGTTGTGCAAAAAATCCCAGCGACGAACAAAAACAACATAGAAGTAATCCAAGTTAAATGGGGGCCTATAGATCAAAGTTAATCAAAATGGTTTTGTTGTTGTTTGTTTTCTTCTTTGTGCTAAGTTAGTTGCTCCTTTGATGTGGCTGTTTCTTGATTGTTTTCTTTAGTCTAGGTCTAGTTCTCTTTGGGAGCGTCTTCTCTTGTAACTTGGCTACACGCCAAGGTTTGCACCATTGGGTGCGCTTGCTCTGTATTTTCTCGAGTACTTCTCTTTAATATATTCTCTTGTTTCATTTGAAAAAAAAAAAAGATCAAATTATTCATGCAAAATTCACGCCAAAAGAAATATGAATGCAAGATTAGCGGACGTCAGCCTATGGTGCTAAACCTGAAAGAACAGAAAGCACTCGAAACATATGATCCCACCAAGCCTATCATCTCATCGCACTAACAAACGTAAACAACGAGCCCTTTTAGCGTGAATTTTGCATGAATATATAATTTCATTTTCAAACACCTTCAACTTTTATCACCACATGAAATTCTAAATTGTTTTATTTTCAAAATTTGCAAATACTCACATAATTTCATTCAATTTTTTTTTTTTCTTTTTGTCAAACAATAAATATATTAATAACTCAAAATGAGTATATTCAAGATGTCAAAGGACACCTTGATCCATTGGAATTACACGGGCAACTAAGAGAGTACGAATATCTGAGAAACAAAAACTCCAAAACAGAGGTGACTACAAAACTCCACAAAGGAAGACTAAC